AGACTAGGCTACAACTTTAGCCCCTTGAATACCATTTTATACATCGAAATCACCAACTGCACCAAATGTGGAAAATGGGGCACTAAATTGAACTTGAAAATGATGCTTGTTTGTAGTCTGAAAGCTAACATAAGAAGGCATTACCTTTTTTGTCCTCAACTGGGAATGCATATTTTGGGTGATTCAGTTTTTTACATTCTATTTATGCCCCCAAATGATGGTGGAAATGCCTAGAATATTGATTTTAGGGTAACAAATAAATTTTAGCAAGCCGTATAATTGCAAATACAGAATTCACAAATGATAAGTATCAACTGTAGTGTTATTAAAAATGTGAATTCAGGAGCCGGGGTTGTGGCTTAGTGGTAGAGCACTTGCCTAACATGCGTGGGGCACTGGTTTTGATTCCTGGCACCACATAAAATAAAAACAAATAAAATAAAGATATTGTGTCTATCTACAACTAAAAAAAATTTTTTAAGTGTGAATTCAGTTATGTAAAAAAAGCTAAAACTTTATATGTTAAAATTGTTTCTTCTAGGGCTGGGGATGTGGCTCAAGCGGTAGCGCACTTGCCTGGCTTGCATGCGGCCCGGGTTCGAGCCTCAGCACCACATACAAAGATGTTGTGTCCGCCGAAAACTAAGAAAAATAAATGTTAAAATTCTCTCTCTCTCTCTCTCAATCTCAATCTCTCTTTAAAAAAAAATTACTTTCTTCTAAAATATTTACAACTATCTAGTATTCTAAACCAAACTATGACTAATTATTGATATCAAAGTGCCAACCAAAGTCATTTTAAATTAAATATTTCATTAAAAATTTTGTAGATGAGCCAGGTATAGTGGCACATGCCTTGTAATCCCAGCTATTCAGGAGGCTGAGGCATGAGGATCACAAATTAAAGTCCAGTCTGGACAATTTAACAAAACCCTGTCTTGTTAAAAATGAAATAAAAAGTGCTGAGGATGTAACTCAAAGGTAAAGAGCTTGCCTAGTATGTATGAGATCATGGATTCAATCCACAGGACTTAAAAAAAATTGCAGATGAAATTAAGTTTAATTTATCATTTTATTAAACTAAATTATTTGCAATTCTAGCCTTCAGTATTCATCTTGTGGCCAACGTGAAGAATCTATTTCACTTCATGTGTGCTGTGTCCAGACTGACATGCATAAAGATTTAAGAATAATATGAGCTATTCACTATAGCAAAATACTCCTCCATTCTCATATACAGCTATTCAGAAAACTGTTAATTCCTAATTCACAAGTCACTTCTGTAGTCCCTAGAATCCCTGGGCTAATTTTTATAGCCACAAACATGAATAGGAAAAGAAGAATAAAATGGACACTTGGCACCACTAGAAGAATCTATGAGAGAGAAGGTTGGCATGGCAGAAAAGTTCTTAGGAAGGTGCTTCTATCATTCCAATCACTAAATACAGAAGCTTTAAGGATTGCAGTGGCGCCCCCACAAACAAATCTGGTACTGAGGTGCAGTCACTTTTGCTTCCAGGCTACAGAACAGGGAAGCCTTTGCCAAGGGCCTGCATGTTACTTGTGCCTGTCTTCCTTGCTTGGGCCTAATGCTGCAGCTGCAGTGGATTGAAACAAAGAAACTAAGCCAATAAAACCTATGAAAGTAATAGTTGGATGCATTTTATTTTCTTTCTTCTTCTCTCTCTCTTTTTTTTAATCATAATCAAATGGTTATACTGGTGAGATTTGTTTTCCATTTTTAGATCCCATTGTTTTCCATTTACTTATAGTTGCTCCAAATAATATGTTAGTATAATTTTCTCTTTCTAAATGTTCAGACATACACTTCAATAACATATTATTGCCTTTCAATTAAAAAAATGTTTGGCAGTGTGCAGTGGCACATGCCTTTAATCTCAGTTACTTGGAAAGCTAAAGCAGGAGGATCACAAGTTCAAGGTCAGCCTGGGAACTCAGTGAGACCCTGTTTCAAAATAAAAAATTAAAAGGGCCAGGGTGTATCTAAGTAGTAAAGGGCCCCCTGTGTTCAATCCCTAGTACCAAAAAAAAAAAAAGAAAGAAAGAAAGAAAAAGATTTAGAATAGCATGAAGTTTGATCAGTGGATGTGGTCAACTGTGCTGTGCTGGTGTTCATGAAATAATTTTGCTTAAGATTTCAGAATTTTGGGCTGGGGATGTGGCTCAAGCGGTAGCGCACTCGCCTGGCATGCGTGCGGCCCGTGTTCAATCCTCAGCACCACATACAAACAAAGATGTTGTGTCCACCAAGAACTAAAAAAAAATAAATATTAAAATTAAAAAAAAAGATTTCAGAATTTTTTATAAAATTCCAAATTTCGTTTTGAGAAATTGATAATATTTTCCCTTAAGGCAATGTGTGACTATGTTGCTATCAATAATATGCACAATATAGCTTCATAAAACATTGCTTTTTCTTTGTTTATTTCATTTTCTGAGTTTGAACAAAAATAAAGTCATTATCTATTTGTAACTTGCAGAAATCAGATTATAACAGATTTTTATGTGAAAAATAATGAACTTCTGTGGATTTAGTTATCTATCAGTCTCATGTAATTACTCAAATAAGTAACTAATAGGAAACATACAGAATTCAACAGAAAGAGCTAGCCTTATTTATAATGAAGAAAACAAATGGTGAGAAGAAAGATTCAAAAGGTTAAAAAAATGGTAGGAAGCTAAATGTAAGAGGATCCTACATGAACAGCAGAAACCTCTAGATTCTTTCCAAATAGGCTAAGGGATTCTTCTGACTAGAAGTGTCTTACATTGGTTCAGACAAAAATCTGGTTTATATACATTTCTTTAGTATCATTACTTTTGTGATATTTTATTTATGAGCAATGGTAGCCAACACCTACACAAAGAAGCCTCAGACTAGGAGAGGCTAAAGCCACATTCCATTATACAAATCTGTATTCCTTGGCTTGGTTCCTAGAGCTATGTGGGTGCACATTGAAACATTGAAGGAAGCTTGCAGAGATCTGCCGGCAGCGCCCCCTCAACCTTTTTTTTTTTTAACTGATCAAGGAACCACCTGCAGATGGTTGCAAGGTTATGGGAAGTCACTGGTGGTATTCCTATTAACATACTTTGGGTATCTGGTACCAACTCTTCTTCCTCTATTATACAAGACAAGTATGGTCAGTTTCCTTTGATTCTGATTTGTTATTGGTTATTTTTCAGAGAACACTCCCCGGTATTTTTCCCAAGAAATAATAGTGATTTTATCAAATTTTTAGCTATTTAATTTGTTGTTGTTAAATTAACTGGGTTGCTATGTCACAGAATGTTACATTATTGGATTCCTGAATTTCTTAGGTTTTTTTCATTTTTAATCGGCACATAATATTTATAAAGAATCATGTATTTCATTGTCATCTATTCATATATGCACATAATTTGATCAAGTTCAATCCTCAGTACCCAATCCCTCCCCTTTCCCTTCCCTCTTCCCTCACTTTGGTCCCCTTCCTCTACTTTACTTGTCTCTCTTCTATTTTCAGGAGGTCCCTTTTTTCTAGAGAGGACCAGAGAGCTTTCACATATGAGAGAAAACATATTGCCCTTGACTCCTCTCTGAGTTTGGCTTATTTTGCTTAACTTATTTTGCATTTATTTTCCTCCAAATGATACAATTTCATTCTTCTTTATGCCTGAATAAAATGCCATTGTCTATATATGCCATATCTTCTTTATCCTTTCATCAGTTCACAGACACCTAAACTGGCTCCATAACTTAATTATTGTGAATTGTGCTGCTATAAACATGAAAACACATGTATTTGTGTAGTACCAAGGAGTGATGTGTTAGTCAACTTTTTTGTAACTGTGACCAAAACACCTGGCAAAAACAACTTAAAGCCAGGTGAGGAGGTGCACACCTGTAATCCCAGCGGCTCAGGAGGCTGAGACAGGAGGATGGCGATTTCAAAGCCAGCCACAGCAATTTAGCGAGGCCCTAAGCAGCTCAGTGAGACCCTGTCTCTAAATAAAATACAAAATAGGGCTGGGATGTGCCTCAGCTGTCAAGTGCCCCTGAGTTCAATCCCCGGTACCTCCTCCAAAAAAAAAAATTAGAGGAGGAAAAGTTTATTTTATTTATTTTTAAGTTTAGTCTATTTTTTATTGGTTCTTTTTAATTTAATGACAGTAGAATCCATTTTGATATAACTATTCAAGCATGGAATATATCTTATTCTAATTAGAACCCCATTCTTGTGGATGTACATGTTATGGTGGGATTCACGTGGTGTGTATGCATACACACACACACACACACACACAAAATTATGTCAGATTCACTCCACTGTCTTTCCTAGGAAAAGTTTCACGGTTTCATAGGTTTAGTCCACAAAAGGCTCACGGTTTCATAGGTTTAGTCCACAGTTGGCTGACTCCGTCGTCCAAGGTGAGACAGAGAATCTTGAAAAAAGTGCACAGTGAGAAAAGCTATCAGCTCAAGATGGTACAGAAGCAGAAAGAGAGCACAAGGAGCCAGGGACAAAATATAATCCCCAAGGGAATGCCCCCAGTGACTTACTTCCTCTAGCCACACCCACCTGCTTACAGTTATTACTCAGTGATCCATTCAAATTATTAATCCATCAAATGAATTAATCCATTGATAAGATGACAGATGTCATAATCTAAACATTTTACCCTGAATGTTACCACATTGGACAACACATGAGTTTTTTTTGGAGGGACATGTCATATTCAAACCATAAAAAAATTGTTTAGCTGGGTCACATAGTGGTTCCATTCCTGGTCTCTTGAGACCTCCATGCTGATTTCCATAATGACTGTACTAAGAGTTCCCTTTTCCCTGCATCTTTGTCAGTATTTATTTTTATGTGTATTCATATATATTAGTCATAGATGAACACAATATCTTTATTTTAATTTATTTATTTTTATGTGGTGCTGAGGATTGAACCCAGTGCCTCACACATATGAGGCAAGCACTTTACCACTGAGCCCCAACCCCAGCCCCTGTTATGTGTATTCTTAGTGATTGCCATTCTCACTGGAGTGAGATGAAATCTCAGTGTAATTTTGATTTGCATTTTCCTCATGTCCAGAGATGTTGAATGTTTTTTCCATATAATTTGTACTTCTTTTGTCCATGTATCGAATGGGTTATTTGTTTGTTTGGTACCGGGGATTGAACTCAGGGGCACTTGACCGCTGAGTCATATTTCCAGCCCTTTTTTGTATTCTATTTAGAGATAGGGTCTCACTGAGTCACTGAGTGCCTCGATTTTACTGAGACTGGCTTTGAACTTGTGAGCCTCCTGCCGCAGCCTCCTAAGCTGCCACTGCATCCGGCTTTTTGTTTTTTGGTGTTAAGTTCTTTAAAATTTAACTTATATTCTAAGATCTTTTTATAAGCACTTTTTGTATTTATATTTTATATTCTAGATGTTAATCCTCTGTTGGAAGTGTAGCTGGCAGGTTTTCTCCCACTTTTCTCTTTGCATATTAATTGTTGTCTTTATTATGCAGAAGCTTTTTTTTTCCTTTAGTTTGATGCCATCCCACTTTCACCAATTTTCATCCATTTTTTACTTTTTTAAAAAAATATTTATTTAGTTGTAGATGAACACACAGTATCTATTTATTTTTTATGTAGTGCTGATGATTGAACCCAGTGCCTCACATATGCGAGGCAAGCACTTTACCACTGAGCTACAGTCTCAGCCCCCCATTTTTGACTTGTATTAAGTTTGTATAACTTCCAGGAAATTTGCTCTACCCTGCTGCATGTACAATTTAAATCTCTCCCATTCCCCATGTCATTCTTTTATCTTGAAGCTTCCTGCGTATTCTGTAAAGGAGAGTGTGGTAGAAATCACAGCTCTAGTAAGGTGTCTCTCTGGTTTACTGTTTATGGAACAGATTCTGTCAGGCACCCTCAAGCAATGGGGTGTGGCAGGTTGGGTTTTCCCAGAAACAAATTCTGAGACAGGATTAATGAACAAAATGTTCATTTGGGAGTTCCCCTATATGAACTTTTTCAGAAGGGGAGGAAGGAAGCGGGATGGAGCAGAGGGAGAAATTAAGCTGCAATGTGATGTCCATGTGGACTTAATAACTATCATAGTTCCTCAGACACCCCAAGGAGCCTCTGAAACTACAGATGCCCCAAGATGGGCTGAGATGGCCATTGAAAGGGCAAGGTAACTGCACCAGTTGCTGCTGAAGGTGCTGACCTGGAGGCTGTTTGCTGGCAACTCTGCGGGTAAGCTGGACAAGTCCTCCCTTGAGGCAGGATCTGGACAGTGATGTGCAGGTCCATGACAGAGGATTGAATGAGAATGCCTCAGGGCTGGAACTAGCCTGTGGCTGGAGTTTTTCTCTCCTTCCCACTGCTTTTCTGACCCATGCTTCCCTCTTATACAGTCTGCTTCCTCTGTGAGTATGGCCACTGTCTCCTGGGCTCTACTTGCATGATCCATACCATGCTCTTCTGACCAGGTTCTGGAGGAGTCAATCATGATGACTTAGGTGTGTGATTCCCAGACTGTTCCACGGAACCTAGATTTGGAGCAACAAATATGTCCTTCAAAGGTAGGTGAGGCCAGGTACAATAGCGCTTGGCTATAATCCCAGCAACTCTGGAGGGATAGGCTCAGACAGGAAGATTGCAAATTCAAAGGCAGCCTCAGCAACTTATTGAGGCCCTAAGCAACACAGTGAGAACCTGTCTGTAGATAAAATATAAAAGAGGATTGGGGAGGTGATTCAGTGTTGTTAAGCACCGTGGGTTCAATCTCTGATACAAAAAAAAATGCTTGGTGATATGTACATAAAGGGTTCATTATACTCACCTCTCTTTTATGTATGTTCAAAAAATTCCTATATATGTATATGGAATTTTTTATATATACATATATATGCTAATACGTTATGTACATATATTGAAGAAAATGATAACTGGTGGTAAGAGGAGGTGAAATAGGAAAGTAGGTGAATGTTTAGACTCTCAAGTTAGAATGGGAGTTTGAATCCAACACCTACTAAATTACTTTGAGCAAGTAACTTAATTTCCCTATGCTGAATCCTACTTTCCTGAATAAGAGCTGGGTGCAGTATAACTTCCATTAGAATAAAACCCTGAGTGACTGGCCTGTCCAGGGCAATTATTTAGGAATTATGAAATGTGTATTGCTTCTCAACCTTTTGGCTGAGATCCAGCGGGAACATATGAAGCATGAACATATGAACCATCCCCAGCACCACATGTATTTTTATGGTGCTGGGGATGGAACCCAGACCTTGCATATGCTAGGTAAACACTCTACCACAGAGTTACACTCCAAGATCTAAAATATATATTTTTTAAAAAACCCTTTTTAAAAAGGATCGCTGTTCATGGTGGTTCATGCCTGTAATCTCAGCAGCTTGGGGGGCTAAGACAGGAGAATTTGTGCATTCAAATCCAGCCTCAACAACTTAGTGAGGTCCTAAACAACTCAGTGAGAATCTGTCTCAAAATAAAAAAGTAAAAATGAAAAGGGCTGGGAATATGGCTCAGTGGTTAAGCACCCCTGGGTTCAATCCTTAGTACCAAAAAAAAAAAAAGGATCAAATAGAAAAAATAATTGTATTGATGCTTCATTTCTGGTAGGGTGCAAGCCATATTTTCCTTTGTAGAGATAGATCTTTTATTAGAGTGAGCACATCTCTGCACACTTAGAGAAAAGCTGCCTCTTGGGCTGGAATTGTGGGCCAAAAGAGGTTTCACAGTGGCCATAGCAAGAGTGAGAGCAGATCCCTGACTCCCCAGTGGCCAGGATGGCTTATAAACTGCAGGTAGAAGGGTATCTTCAACTAAAGCTACTAACATTAAATGCTTGTGAGTCCAGGCCCTATACTGATTTTGTCATGCAAGTGGCAAAAGGAGCTTTCTACCAAAAACAACAAGGGCTGGGGATGTGGCTCAAGCGGTAGCGCGCTCGCCTGGCATGCGTGCGGCCCGGGTTCGATCCTCAGCACCACATACAAACAAAGATGTTGTGTCCGCCAAATACTAAAAAATAAATATTAAAATTAAAAAAAAAAAAACAACAACAACAACAAAAACAAAACAAAGCAAAAACCGAGCAGGATCTCTGGCAAGGAATGAATGAATGAGTAAAGCAGGAAAGAAGACCCTTCCCCAACCCAATTATAGAAGTATCAGTTGCCAGATGCCAGGGCAGTATTCCAAAGACTGATGGGGTCTCAGGGTCCAGATGGGGGTCACAACAGTCAGCCAGCCAGCCAAACCATGGCAGGAAGAGCTGACGGCACACTGTATCACTCAAAGGACCTGCTGGGCCACCAGCCTCAGCAACTTGGGCCCATTTCTCCCAACAAACAAGTCAGAACTGCAAGAATGATAGTTGTTGAGAGCCACAGCCTAGTCACAATGTTGTCTGGCATATTGCCAGAGGGAATGGTTGAAAGGTGACACCAGCAAACCATTGAGATGATGATTTGAGTTAAGCTGTATATAATTGCTGTGATGCTGGATTCATTGAGTTGTATATGGACCCTGCTCCGGGAATAGGGCAGCTCCGGGAATCTGCCTGGCACCCACTACTTTGGAGTTCCTGGGCAGTTCTCTTGGGGGCTCGGGGAGATTGGGCACGCGGAGCCCAGTGGAAGGAGTGTGTTCCCGAGTAGTGTGTGTGCAGTGCTGGTGAGAGTTGGGGAATAAAGAGTTGCTGTTTGAACCTACAAGGCTTTGTGGCGGCTCGGTTATTTGTGCCCAGCCAGACTGCGGCAGATAGTCCTGATGTTTTCTGCAACACTGATTTTCTTCACCGCATTGTTCCTTGCAGCATTGTATATAATCATAAAAAATAGCCAACCACTTTGTAGAAAGCTCTGTGGCCATTGGAAAGAAAGAGCAGGTAGTTACATTTTGAAATATAAAGCACAGAGTCGACTTAACTGGCCATGTGACATTTTTTCAAGAACCAGCCAGTTTAAAAAAATAACTAGAATTAGAGAAATTATAAAAGGTGAGCTTTCTATTTAAAAAATCAGCAAGACAAAGACTGGTGTTGTATCTCAGTGGTAGAATGTTTGCCTACCATGTGTGAGGCCCCGGGTTCCATCCCCAGCAAAACATACACACACACACACACACACACTGCAATACAGAAGATTGGAGAATCAAGATTGAAAGCCCTTTTTCCTTACTTCCCACCCACACCTATCTTATACTCTCCTTGGGGAAGTCACCAGTTTGCTGTGTGTTCTTACATCCCAGAACCTAAAGATGTACCAAAGGATTGAAACTGCTCATGTTTTAGTGCTGCAGTAACTGAGTTTGTTGATTCTCAAACTGTGTCTTGTGTATGTGCATGTGCCTGTTTGTGCATATGAGTCAATATTTCCTTAGGACAGATTCCTATAGTGGAAGTTGAAGGTTAAAGGGCACGCACATTTTAAATGGTGCTGATTGCTTCACAAAAAACTTTGTTTTTTTCTCTCCGATGTTGCCAAGTTTTATTTTATTTATTTACTTTTTTTGCCAATTTGAGAGGTAAAAAAGCACCTAGTTGCTTTAGTTTGTCTTTAAAAATTTATTTTTTAACTGTGGCAAAGCATTCTTAACATAAAATTTACCATTTGATTCATTCTTCAGTGTACTGTACAGTTCTGTGGCATTAAGTATATTCACGTTGTTGGGCAAGCACACCATCCATATCCAGAATTAATTTGCTTTAATTTGATTAGCTAGTATTTTTTTCATTTCTCTGTTGACTACTATATTTCCCCTCCTTTCTCCATCTTTATTCCCACTCTCCCTTCTTTTCTTACTTCCTTCTTTTCCTTTTCCCTGTTTTTCATCTCTTTATGATCCTCGCAGATCTCCTAACTAAGCCAATGTTCTTTTTCCTTTTTTCTCTCTCTTTAAATTTAGGAGCTTTTCCACATTATGAATGTGAATTTATATATATCGCTTGACTCCTTGTATATTGCATTATTTCTAATCTTTGCAACATCTCTATGAGGCAAGTATTCTTATTGCCATTTAGCAGATGTCTAAAGTTCTAAGAGTTAGGTGACTTGTCTGAGGTCACGTGGCTAATAGGTCACATGGCAGAGACAAGTTGAGACTTGTTCCATCTATTTCCAAGGCCAGAGTTCTTTTCATAGCACTCAGTTCAAAGGGAAGCTGGCTAAGAGGTGATACTCTACTGAGTTCGGGCAAGACTTGCAGGGTATCTAAAAATTGACATTTAGGAGATATCAGGAGGAAGCTGGGGAAAAGTTTAGGGGAATCTAGAAGTTGGTGCTTATGAGCATAGAGGAAATTAAAGGCAATCTCCCCTATTCCCTTATTGCCTTTGTTATATAAAGAATCTTTGAAAAGCATATAAAATTGGGGGCCCTGCTGGGCACAGTGATCCCAGTGGCTTGGGAGGCTGAGGCAGGAGGATCACAAGTTCAAAATCAGCCTCAGCAACTTAATGAGGCCCTGTTTAAAAATAATAATAATAGTGGCTGGGGATGTTGCTCAGTGGTTAAACACCCCTGGGTTCTATCCCTTGTACAAAAAAAAAAAAAAGAAAAGAAAAGAAAGAAAGAAAGAAAGAAAGAAAGAAAGAGAAAGAAAGAAAGAAAAGATGGGGTCCTTGTGCATTTACACTCATTTTGCCACTATGGTTGCAAAGTTGATGCCAGAGGGTATGGTCTGGAGGCCTTTCTGGGTACAAATTCTGGGAAGTTTCTAGAATAAGAAACTCTTTCCCCTATGTCCAATCAACCACTGAGCAGGGTGGGTGTTAATTTGTGTAATATCACCCTTTTTCCTGTCTCCTGCCAGAACCTAGCCTCACTCTCCTAACTTATTTCACCACTTCCACTTTCACTCCCTCCAACTTCCCCTCCATGCTGTGGCCTGAATGATTGCTGAGAGCCATAGCCAAGTAGGAATGACACATGGCATTTTTGGTTGAAAGGTGACCCCAGCAAGCCATTGAGATGATAATGATTATGTTAAGATCTGCATTCAATTGGATATTAGACCCCTGCTGTCGGCCTTGGCCTGCTACTTTGGAGCTCTCAAGGGACTCCAGGAAGTTCCCATTGGTTGGGGAAGTGCAGTAGGAGGGATTTCCGGAGGAGGGACTTCCTGTTGGTGTAGTGTGTCCCTGGAGGAGCCGTGTGGCATTTTTTCCTGGGAGCGTGTGTGGAGTGTGCTGGTGGAGTTCAGAAATAAAGTTTGTTCCTGCTTCGGTGGCTTGTGATTTGTGCCCAGCCAGACTGCGGCAAATGATCTTTCTAAAGTGTACATTTGGTTGTACAATTCCCCTGCAAGCTCCTCAGCCCTGCTCATGGCTGCACCTCTGGTCTTGCTCTCTCTGCCTTTCTCATCCTTACCTGCTTTAACTGGATTCTATAGCTCACTCTGAAGGCCTCAAGACCTTCAACTGTGTTATTTCCTATCCCTGGAATGCTGTACTCTGGTAAACTCCTATTCAAATTTTAGTTCTTTGTTTAAAGAACTAAACTTTCAGTGGAAAACTCTCAGGAATAATGGGTTAGTTATGGGTTCTCATGAATCCTGG